CCATGTTCAAATGTGTTACAAAACTTTTTAAATGCATCTCTTATATAATATATTGATGCATCATATTTAGTTGTGGATAATTTCGTAAGATAGATTAATTTCACTATGAGATTCTGAGAATGCATTATCCTTTATTATTAGAATGCATTTCTTCCTCACGTAAATGCATTATGTAGATAGTGATAATGCACAATAACAGAAACTCATGCAGATTTTATATTCACAGTACACTCTGGATGTGTGTTAGAGTTTGCATCACATTGCATCAAAAACCTTAGTATGGGATCACAATATAGATTTAAGTTCTGCTAGATGCAATGCAAAAATTGAGCAATATCAAACTTAATATACAAAATACATTTACTTTGAATTTAATTAAAACACAATTTTGGACAGAATAAAATATAATGCTATAAGATTATGTTAATATGCACTAAGACATATTATATATGCATTCATGCTAACGAAGAGAGTCAATGAATACGGAGATGGTAGTTGGGTGTGTTAACAACAACCAAAAGTGCATTAAAAGGAAATAAAAATGATATTTCCTAGAAAAAACCTATTCGAAAAAGAATTGCTGTAACTGACAAATTGGCCCTTAAAATTAGAACAATAAGTTAAAGAACAATTCAATGCATAGAAACTTGATGTGGACGTATAAAAAATGTACATGACTCCATCAAATTAGTTGAATGAATCTAAAAAAACAAAAACAAAAAAAATAATCTAAAAAACGGTATCCTACTATGTCTATTTAAATAAACCAAATATATAGTGTACCACAATACTTATGCACTTCCATGATTGTCAGCTCAAATGAAAAGTGCAAAAATTATACTCCGTATTATATATATGGAGAAAAATGCATATATGGACATGTAAAATTTATCTTCAGAAGATGCACTGTTATGGCCGTTATATGCACTTTGAGTTATACATGACTCCATCAAAGTTCTATGAATCTCAAAAAGGACAACTTATAGTGTCTTAGAATATTTAAATCAACTAAATGTATATTGTACCACAAAATTTATGCACTTCCATATCTGTCAACTCGCATGAAAGGTGCAAAACTTATATTATACATGAAGAGAAAAATGCATACATGGAAAACACTAAACACCTGTATTACCAAAGTTCCTTAAAATGCTTGTGCGGGAGAATTATGCTCCACGTAAATGCATCATAAAAAGGTTGGCAATGCAGTATGCATGATACACAATGCTATGTTAAGAGAAACTAATATTAAAATCTAACAACCCTAACACACCGTGGACTACAATCATTAAATTCAGAAAAGTAGTGGAGATCATTAGGGGGGAGGGGAGAAGATGACCATTACCACAATTAGACCAGCAATTCTATTTGCAAGAGTCTTTGGGGAATTGGTTCAAACACTTGGTGTGCATTCCAAAGACCTTTAGACCTAGGACCTGGGCAGTGCCTCTGCTCTTTCTACGACTCAAGGCAATTAGCCTACCTCCTAAAATGAAATGACTTTATCCAATAGAAAAGAATAGAAATTGCCAAGTACGAGGCCAATTAGCTCAAAGGTATTACTTGAAGACTTTTGTACGAGGCCAGAATATGTGCAGGAAATCTTGGGAAAAAAGAAGAAGACTTAAAAGTTTAAATCAAATTCAACCATGAGATTATATTCTAAAATACATACACTATAATCGTATGAATTCAAATTAAGTAGATGAAAATTTTAATCACACACCTAAATGATAATCAGATTCTAAAATACACATACCTCAACCCATAATTGTATCCCTCCAAAATTTTATGCATGAACCCTAGAGTGGAAGGAAATTCATGTGAATCTTGTGAATTGGAACGCCATGTCGCCATGGGCTGAAAAGGTACCATAGATTGAAGCTATGGAGTCAGTGTAGATGATGCGTTGATTTTCCGGTAGCGAGAAAAGGAAACTGAGAGAAAGAACCAGAAATAGGGCGCTGATTTAGGAACGACTAATGAGAGAGGTGAGAGAGATACGGTTGAGATGTAAAAATCCAAATATATCCCTGAGTAGATTTAGAAAGAATATTGACATGAGATCAGATCTAACGGTGTATAATTTATTCTTATTTCTTTCATTAGATCGTTTTCTCACCGGAACCAAACTCTATATATATATATATATATATATATATATATATATATATATATATATATATATATTGTTAGACAAGGCGTGCAATTCTAGAGGGGGGGGGGGTGAATAGAGTTGTTGAGAATGTTTACCGATTTTCCCAGGATTAATAATATAAACGTAAGTGCAGCGGAAATAAAATAGAGAAGCCAAAGAACACACCGATGTATACTGGTTCACCACCTCGTGGCTAGTCCAGTTCCCCGAGAGACTCTCTCGAAGCTACCACTACTTCCGTTAAGCTTACGGGTGCTTAACAAACCGTTTACAACTCGAGAACTTGAATCCCACAAGCCTCGACACAACCGCTCGTAGATATGCCCTCTACAAGACTTCACA